CTCCTTTCTCATTTTCTTCTTTGACACTGTAAGACTGGCCTCAAATTTGTGATCCCCCTGTCTCAACCTTCTGAGTGCTGGGATTACAGATGTACACTACATCCGATTTATTCTTGGTGGTTTTGTTTTAGGCAGACCAACCTGGACTATATCATGGAAATCTGCCTGGATTTAGTCTAGGGAAGAATTAGTCTAGGATTAAAATTGTCCATGATTAAAGAGGAACTGGGCTCATAGGAGGTGCCCAATAGACACAGGCTGAATTGAATGTGGTCGTGGCCAGTTAATACATGTATTTAAGGGCTGAGGATTTTGCTTAGTGGTAGAGGTCTTGCCAAGCATGTGAGAAGCCTTGGATTAGAGTCCCAGGGCTGCTGTTGCCCCAAGGATTTAGCACTGGACCCAGTGTTTGCCATGCATTTATGCTGTGGAATAATACTGTACACTGCAAAAATGTGTTGCTCTCATTGTTAATAAAAAGATAGACTGGCCAGTATCCAGACAACCAAACTAAGGGCTGGGAGGAAAGAGGGGCGGGGTCGGGGAGACACCATCAGAGGCAGAGGAAGCAGGATGTTTAGAAAATGAGGTAACAAGCCATGAATCATATGGCAGAGTGTAGATAAGGAATATGGGTTAACTTAAAATGTAAGAGTTGGCGGCCGGGCGGTGGTGGCGCACGCCTTTAATCCCAGCACTCGGGAGGCAGAGGCAGGCGGATCTCTGTGAGTTCGAGACTACCGAGCGAGTTCCTGGTCTACCGAGCGAGTTCCAGGACAGGCTCCAAAACAATACAGAGAAACCCTGTCTCGAAAAAGAAAAACCAAAAAAAAAAAAAAAAAAAAAAAAAAAAAGAGTTGGCTAGTAACTACCCTGAGCTATTGGCCGAGCATTTATAATTAATATTAGACTCTGAATGGTTATTCAGGAAGTGACTGCCAGGATGGAAAAACTCCACCTACACATTTACCTCTTTCCTGTTTCAAGGCCCACGAAGGTGACACAAAAGATATACCAAGGTGTTTCTGGTTTTTCTTTCCAGTTTGGTCTCATAGCTGATTTGCTCCAAAGAAGCACACAAAGACTTATACTATTAAAATGTTAACCAATGGCTAGGGTTTCTTATTGGCTAGCTCTGTCTTAATTATTAACCCATTTCTATAAACCTATGTATTTCCATGTGGTCTTGTCTTACTGGAGAATGCCAGGACCTCCTTTGGCGGCTACATGGCATCTCCTGGCGCTTCTCTGCCTCTCTTCCCAGAAGCCTCGTCTCCTAGCCCCGCCTATCTTCCTGCTTCTACTGACCAAACAGTGTTTTATCCATCAACCAATAAGAGAAACATACACAGAAGGGCATCCCCCGTCACAATGGCATGCACAGCCAAGGGCAGAAAGAGTAAGAGAAAGAGACTAATAACAGGTGAAAGCCAGGATGTCGATGGCAGAGTGGATAACTGAATTTGCAAAGGTGGAGGCCAACACAAAGCCAGTAGGGTTTTCACCACTGAGCCGTCTCTTTCAGGGTTCAGCAGAACCAAGAACCTTTCAGGAAACAAGATGAGGGAAGGCTGATGAGAGGCCAATAGACAGGAAGTCTGCATGGGAAGACCTCAGGATACTGTATCCTGGTTCCCACCCTATGACCTTGGTAGAAGATGCGAACGTGAACAAGAAACCCTGGGTTGAGGTCCCAGGAACACTTGACAGAGAAGGTAAAGGCCAGTACCCAAAACAAAGGAATGAAATGAGGGCCTACCAACCACTGAGAAGCATCCTATTCCTTGATCCCTGGTCCCAGCTTGTTTCCAGAATGATGGGAGCTTTGAGCAGGAGACTGGAAGGGATCTTTCTGGGGAAAGGTACTGCCCCAAACAAAAGAAAGCTACGGACTGAACTTCAGGAGGCTTCCAAGACACCTCTATGTCACCATGTTAAGGCTGTCTGCTGTGATCTGGCTATTTCAAAGAGATAGTGCTAGGGGGCGGGTCTCTTAAGAGGTAATTAATAGTCGTGCCTTTATTATGGGGAGTGGGTTAGTTATTGTCCCCAGTGGAAGGGATGAATTGTGCCCTATTTTTCCTTGTCCCTTGATGCTTGCTTGCCATCCCACCACATTACGACAGCACGAAGCCCTCTCCTCACCGGTACTTCCCCCGTCTCCAGACCATGAGCAAAATAAACTCCTATTCTTTATAAGCTACCCAGCCTATGGCATTTTGTTACAGCAGCAGAAAACGAACTGAGATACCGTTCTCAAACCCATCATTTGACACATTTTAGCTATTCATGCAGAACCTTAAATCAGCAGCTTCGTGATTTAATCCTAAATGAAAATGGTCAGGTAAATACTATTAGACGTCGCAAGAAAGTCTCTCAGCTAAAGAGCGGAGGTGGAGACCAGCAAGCAGTGAAGAAAGACGCTGGATAAGACAGGGTTAGTTAGGAAACAAGAAGCATTTAAAACTGATCCCCACGAGAGGGGAACAAGCAGATATTGCACATGTGCGATAAGAACCACAAGTTTAGAAAGAATGAGTCCTTATGAAGAAACCATCAACTAAGCGGTTTGGATATAAAGATGAGGACACTGGAGCTGAAAGCGTAGTTCAGAGGCAGAGTGTTTGTCAGGATGTGTGAGGTCCTGCGCCAGTTCCTGGCATCACAAAAAAAGAAAGACAAAGAAATATCCTAGAAGGTGGAGCAAAATGACAGAGTTAGGAAACAGAAGAGAACAGGGAACTAAACTCGAGACTCAGCCCACAACGTACGGTAGCTGAAGCACAGGGGAGGCGGGTGGCTCACAACCACCTGGTGTGCTCTTTTGACCTCTGCTGTCACCTGCCAGCACATGTACACACAGGCACATGTACACGCATGCATACATATGCATGCACACATATATGCACACACATACACATACACACACAACACACATTGGCACACACATGCATGACACCCATGCTAACACACACACACACAAACTAAAGAGGAACAAGAAAGGAAGCAGCTGTCTATAAATTATTAAATAAATAAAGCAAGAGCATACCCAGGCTGGGCTGTGGTGGCGCACACCTTTAATCCCAACACTCGGGAGGCAGAGGCAGGCCTATCTCTGTGAGTACAAGGCCAGCCTGGTCTACAGAGTGAGTTCCAGGACAGGCTCCAAAGCTACGCAGAGAAACTGTTTCAAAAACAAACAAACAAACAAAAAATGAACGCTCCCAGAGCTAAAGGACTAGGCTAACCCCATACAGTGTGTGAAGATCCATCCATATTACGGCACATCAAATGAAAGTTCAGAAATGGAATAAGCAAAATATTCACAAAATTCTCCATAGAAAAATGGAAGATTAAGAACAATCGATCAGCCGGGTGTTGGTGGTGCACGCCTTTAATCCCAGCACTTGGGAGGCAGAGGCAGGCGGATCTCTGTGAGTTCGAGACCAGCCTGGTCTACAGAGTGAGTTCCAGGGCAGCCTCCAAAGCCACAGAGAAACCCTGTCTCGAAAAACCAAAAAAAAAAAAAAAAAAAAACAATTGATCATAGCTTTAGACTTTTAAACAATACTAGCGATAGAAGACAATGTCATTAAAACTCTGAAAGAAAACTACTTCAAATCTGGAGTGCTATACCCAGGTAAACTGTCTACTCACAGTGAGGACAGAGCTAAGCTGCTATCTGGGACTTACATACCCTTTCTAAGGAAGTTATTAGAGAATGACTCCCGGGAAACCCGCAAGTTGGAGAAGAAAGGAAATGCAATTGCCATGTACTATGTGCTCAGACCTGAGTGTTTAAAATCCTAATAATGTGAATAATAAGTACTGTTCTTAAACTGATAATACAGGGAAATGGGAAGAGGGGTGAGGGGTGGGTGGTGAAGGTCTTATGGCTGGAGTCAGAACTCACCTTCTATGAGTGGAAGTTTAGAGAGAAATGAAAATGAAACAAGCATTCAAACCTGTGCACAGGACAAGCATGCCATCTGTGTATATGAAGGAAGACAAGCATATCGTTTGTACATATGAAGGAAGACACCAGTGGAGACAGCTAGGTGGAAAATGATTGCCCCCGGGGTAGACTGAGACTACTCTTCCCATTATAATCCTTGAAGGACTCATTCCCTCTGCCCCTTCCCCTCCTCCTTTCTCTACACAGGGAATTGGATCTAAGATCTTGGCAGGCCTCTACCAATGAGCTGTATTCCTAACTAGAAAAAAATGTTTTAATCAGATTATAGCCAAAGTACTCAGAATGCTGGGACAGGGAGACTGTGAGATCAAAGCTAGCCTGAGTAACTTATTTTTTGTTTTTGAGACAGGGTCTCCCTATATAGCCCAGGCTGGCCATGAACTTGCTCTGTAGTCTAGGCAGGTCTTGAACTTTTGATCTTTCTGCCCCAGCCTTTTAAGTTCTGGGATAACAGGCTCAAACCACCAAATCTGGCTGTGATTTTTTGACTTAAAAATTGTATGCATGTCTTATTTTGACATAAATAAAATTTAGCCCCAAAGATAATAAACTATGATTTCCAAATACTCTTATTTGAACAGTGCTCTTGCTGTAATTTTATGACATCTCCTCCCGGGTGAACTTGGTCTTCACTTGATACTCCAATTATTTGTCATTAATTACAAGCAGTTTTCTATCCAATAGAGCAGGCATTCAACAATACCTAGAGATCATGAGGCCCCAGACCTTTGACTAGATAGTAGACCAGCAATATTTATGTGTCTCTTTGTAAGTCCTCAAGACCCAGGGCCTGCCCTGCAGCCCCCCCCCCCATTTTGCTGGGTGGATCTCAGTGGGTTGTCAAGGATGGAGAAGGTGATGGGAGGTTGTGTACTGTGTGGACAGGCTGTTGCTTCCCAGGTGAGCTAGGTCCCAGGACCTCTGACTCAGACACTCAACCCCTTCTTTAGATGGGTGATTCAGGGCAGAGCTACATCCCACTGCTCATGGGAGACGCCCTCCCCAGAGCCCCTTGCCAGCTCACGGTGACAGAGTCTCCTTCACAGTCTGGGGATGGCTCCATATCAAAGTCCTGGAAGACCAGTCTCACGACAAACCCTTCTGGAGCCTCGATATCAGTGTGGCTCTCCTGGCCTTTGAGATATGGCTCTGGATATCCAGGGGATGTCACTTGCTGTGGTAGCTGCTGGGCCAAGAGCACAGAGGCCTGTGTAGGGCAAGTATGGAGGATTCCCCAAAGGAACAACAGCCGGCACCTGTGAGTGAGGGGGGGCGACAAGGTGAGGTGATGTAACTCTGCCACAGGCCTATGGATATATTGGGTTGTAGCAAGTGATGGTAAGGGATCAAGAGGCTTAGGCCCCAGAGCGTGGTCACTTCCTGATGCCACTTTACTCCCCCGAGGCTGGGTAGGTTCCTCTGCAGCCTGGCCTCCAAGACTGCAGGGTCTCTAGCCTGTGAAGACATCGCTATGGCCAGTCTCACCTAAGCCAGGTGGCCCCCTGCCTCAGTCAGGCCTGATCCCATGCTGGAGGACAAGTTAGGGGACATTAAACATGATTCCTGGCTCAGCGCATTGAACAGAACACTTTCAGGTGAATTCAGTTCTCTGGGGCATTCCCATCCCCCCTCCCCACCCATCCTTCCCACCGCACGCGTGCGTGCGTGCGTGCGTGTGTGCGTGCCTGTGTGTGTGTGTGTGTGTGTGTGTGTGTGTACATATGCAACCCTGTGTCCTGCCTTCCTCTCTCCCTGCCCCTTTCCTCCTTCAGTGCCCTCTATGGGAGAACTCACATCTTGCCCAGGCAGTTTGTGGAGGGAGAACTCCACAGGTGGTTTCCAGCTTTGGGACCCGGCCTCTGGAACCAGACATCTGGAACCAACTAGAGTGTTTGGCACAGACCAGGGAAAAGGAGGAGGTGGGGCTAGAGGAGGCCCTTGGGGAGAAGGCGGAAGTTACTGGAAATGAGTAAAGCTACTGTGGGTTCAGTGCCACCTGCTGGCAGACGTAGGAATAGCTCTTACCGGAATTGAAAGGAAAACATCTTCAGAACCAAGCGGGGACAGAGCAGAGTGGGAGAGAGTTGACTCTTGACTCTTGTGTTTTTTGGGGGGGAGAGGGCGGTGTTGAAATAGAGTTTTACTTAACTCAGGCTGGTGTCAAACTTGGTGTGTAATGGAGGCTAGTCTTGAGCTCCTGTTCCTTCTGCCTCTTCTCCAGCGCTAGAATTACAGGTGTGTGCCACCATACACAGATCTTGTTTGTGCATTTGAAACAGGGTTTGTCTCACTTTGTAGTCCAGGATGGCATGGGACTCACTGTGCTGTCCACAATGACCCCCAAACTCATGGCAATCCTGCTGCCAAAGCCTCTGGAGTGCTGGAATTAGAGGCACATATTCCCATATCCTGCTCTTCTGTAGTATTTAGTACAAGTTTCTGATGATTCAGCTGCAGCCTTTAATGGCCTAATTTGTCCTTCCCCCTCACTTACGTTACCTGTCTGCCTCTTGGAGAACATGAAGTCTGTGACCCATGAACTTGAGCTTTCTTTTCCTGGGTCAAGAATGGGTGAGTTCATGCACTTATTCAACTGAATCCCACCCACAACACCTGGAGGCTCTTTTTCTAGCAAAATCAGGGCTGTGGTCCAGCCCAGGTATCTTGGAATCCCTAGAGACTCAACTCAGTAGGTAACTCACGCCTTGAGGCCAACATCAGGAGGCACACAGCTTGAGTTGGACCGCCTCTCCCTGTGCCCAACAAGGAAGACAGCTCACTCCTGGCTTGGTGAGAGTGAGACGGAGGGAAAGCACGGGCAGAGGTGGGCTGTCCTGTCCTGGGAGGAAGCAGGTGTGCATAAAGGTTTGCACTCCAGTGTTCGTTGCTCCTTCCATTTGACATGTGGTTATTCAGCTTCTCACAAAAGCAACACATCACAAACCGGGGAAGTATTGTGGTGGTTTGAATGGGGGTGGTCCCTGTAGGCTGGGGGTGGTCCCTGTAGGCTAGGGATGGTCCTTGTAGGCTGGGCATGGTCCCTGTAGGTTGGGCATGGTCCCTGTAGGTTGGGCATGGTCCCTGTATGCTGGGCGTGGTCCCTGTAGGCTGGGGATGGTTCCTGTAGGCTGGGGGTGGTCACTGTAGGCTGGGCATGGCCCCTGTAGGCTGGGCATGGTCCCTGTAGGCTGGGCATGGTCCCTGTAGGTTGGGCATGGTCACTGTAGGCTGGGGATGGTTCCTGTAGGCTGGGCATGGTCCCTGTAGGCTGGGGGTGGTCCCTGTGGGCTGGGCATGGTCCCTGTATGCTGGGGATGGTTCCTGTAGGCTGGGCATGGTCCCTGTATGCTGGGGGTGGTCCCTGTGGGCTGTGCATGGTCCCTGTATGCTGGGGATGGTTCCTGTAGGCTGGGCATGGTCCCTGTATGCTGGGGGTGGTCCCTGTGGGCTGTGCATGGTCCCTGTAGGCTCACATATTTGAATGATTGATCTCCTCCTCACTCCATACCCCATACCAGGCCTAGTCTTGACCTCTTTCTGCCTGCAGCTTGTGGATCAGATGTGCAATCTCAGGTACTTCTCCAATGCCTGCCTGCCTGCCTGCCACCTTGCTCCCCTCCATGACGATAATGGAGCAACCTTTTGAAGCCATCAGTGAGTCCCCAGTTAAAAGCTTTCTTCTGTAGGTTGCCTTGGCCATGGTGTCTCTTCACAGTAATAGAACAGTATCTAAGACAAGTATGTCCAGGGTCTTCGGTTTCTGCAGACTTAAGAAGGTTAGAGAACTACAGTCCATGCCTTTGAGGGAACAGGCAGGGAGTGAGCATCAGGGCACTCAGTTTCCTAGACTCAATATTGAGAAGCGATCTTCCCCCTGTGCCATGTCCCAACCCCATACACATCTGGAGATGATCTCACCCACCCCCTTGTTTCCTGGTTGGTATAGAACCCAGGGCCTTGCACATGCTAAGCAAGTACCCGACTACTGAGCTACTATTTCTGTCTGTTTGTTTTGAGATAGAGTCTCGGTTTGTAGCTCAGGCTAGTTATGGCCTCTTAGTCTCACGGGTGCTGTGATTATAGGTATGTACCTGGTCTGTAGCTATCTTTGGAGGAGTGGGCCCCTCCAGCTGGGCTCCCAGGGACTATTGAAATCTATTTCTAGGATAGGAGCTCACCCATCCCAGGGCAGAGTTTGAGTACTGCAGAAGTCTGGATAATGGGGGGGGGGGGAGGCAGCTACTCTGAGCTTCATTAAAAGATACTCCTACTACCAAAAAAAAAAATAGCACACTAAGTAGCCCTAGTTAGCCTGGAACTCACCATGGAGATCACACTGGCCTTGAACTGATGCGGAATGTCCTTCTGTATGCTGGAAATATGTGCTGCTTGTATTGGTTGATGAATAAAGCTGTTTTGGCCAATAGACAGGCAAAATATAGCTAGGTGGGAATTCCAAACAAAGATGCAGAGAGGGAAGGCAGAGTCAGGAAGATACCAGGTAGCCTCTGGGGAGGCAAGATACCAGGGTATTACCAGTAAGCCACAGTCACGTGGTGCTACTCAGATTAGTAGAAAAGAGTTAGTGTATAAGAGAGAGAGCTAGCCAGTAATAAGCCTAAGCTATTAGCCAAACAATTATAAATATATATTAAGTCTCTAAATGGTTATCTTATAAGCCGCTGTGGGAACCTGGTGGGCAGAGAGAAACGGGTCTAGTGGGACCAGGAACACGGAGAAAAGCCTTCTAACTACAAGCTGGGCACCCAGGGACTACTGAGCCTGTCTCCCCCTTTAACTATTAGGGTCACAGAGTTCCTGGGAGCCAGAGGTGGCTCCTGCCACAGGGAGATCAGTGGCTCATCACCAATCTGTCAGGAAGAAAGCAGCTTGGTTGAGGTGAGGAATTCTTCAACGGCTGACCTTGTCCTTTTGTCCTTGACAGTCTGCTGGGGCCCATCTGCACTCTGTTCCTGAGCTTCTGGTTACTCATTAAGAAAGGCAGGGACCGGAATGCCCCTACTAGCCCCTCAAACAGGATGTCCCAGGAGATCTTCTGGAGAAGCAAAAAAGGCTTTAAAAGAGATTCCTGGTCAGGTGTCAGGGCCACAATCTGTCCCATATGGGACTCAGGGGTACTTTGGGATGCATTGCTATGATTTAAAAGGGAATGAGGGGTTTCCTGGGATAGGGGGCTTTCACTTTTAAAACAGAAGGAATTTTGGGAAACATCAGAACAGATGCTCATTCTAAGCACCCAGGACTTGGAGTACTGGGAGGAGGTTGGTTGGAAAGACACAGGGAGCCAAGAGGGGAAAGAGATGGGGGTCCCCAAGAGAGGGGAGAGATGGTGGTCCCCAAGAGGGGAAAGAGATGGAGGTCCCCAAGAGGGGAAGGAGATGGTGGTCCCCAAGAGGGAAGGAGATGGGGGTCCCCAAGAGGGGAAGGAGATGGGGGTCCAGGGTCACCTTGTGCTGTCCCTGGGGCAGGGAATCTGCCTTTGAATGAGGACCTATTTGCTCCCACAGGTGTTGTGGCTAATGTTTGTATCTGGGTAAAGGGGAGGAAGCCCCCAGGGACTTGGGACTGATGGCTGGTGACCCCGGGCCCCTGTGGTATGAGATAAGCAGCCATGTCCCTGTCCTGGTTTCATCACCATCCCCCTGCTCTGGAGCCTCCTCTCCAGCCAGTAGAGACAGGAATGCAGAGATACTCTACTTTCTAGCAGGGTCAAGAGAAGGATCTGGCTGAATAATTGTGGCACCAACGCAGGCACAGTCTTTTCAGAGCGGACACTGTGGGATGGTGACACTTGGTCATAGCCGGGAGTGGGAAAGTTGATGTAGATTCCGGAACTGTGGGGAGGAGAGCGTGTCGCTACTTCCTTCATCAGAGCCTTTTCACTGTCTTTTGTATGCAGGGTCTCATGTAGCCCAGGGTGGCCTCAAACTCTATGTGGCTGAGGATAACCTTGAACTTGTGATCGTTAGTTTCCACCTTCCAAGTGCCAGAATTAGCAAGCGTACACCACCATGTTCAGTTTATATGGTGCTGGGAACTGAACTCAGAGCCTTGTGCGTGAAGGTAAGTTCTTCATCCACTGGGCTGCATCCCTCGCTCATGGAGGCTTCCCCTCACCATGCTGCCGCGATGGAGTGTAAACTGTTTCATTTCAAGACAAACTACCACTTCTTCTTTAAGTTGCTTTCATCAGCCATTTTAGTACAACAAGGAGGAAATAACTAACACACAATCCAAAGTTAGTCAAAATGCCAGGGAAGAAAAACACAAACTATGCTTGTGAGAAAAGTTAATTTACAGAACGCACTGGCTAGTTCTGTGTCAAGTTGACAGCAGCTAGAGTCATTCTGGAAGAGAGAACTTCAGCTGGAAAAATGTCCCCATGAGGTCTGCCTGTGGGTAAGTCTGTGGTACGTTTTCTTAATTGATGTTTGTGTGGGCTCTCCCAGCTCACTGTGGGCAGGGCCACCAACAGACTGGTGGCCCTGGGTGCTGTGAGGAATCAGGTCGAGCTAGTCAGGAAGCGATACTCCTCCATGCCTCTACATCAGCTCCTGTGCTGACTTCCATGGGGGGCTGGGATGTGGAAGTCTAAGTACAATAAACCCTTTCTTCTCCAAGCTGCTCATGGCCATGGTGTTTCATCGCAGCAATAGAAACCCAAATTAGCTAGGCAGGGGTGATGCAGGTCTTTAACCCCAGCACTCGGGAGGCAGAGGCAGGCGGATCTCTGTGAGTTCGAGGCCAGCCTAGTCTACAAAGTGAGTTTTAAGAAGCTAGGGCTACACAGAGAAACTTTGTCTCAAAAAGAAAAAAGAAAAAGAAGGAAAGAAAGAAAGAAGAAGGAAGGAAGAAACCTGAACTAAGACACAGAGACAATCTTTCAAAATGACACAGATGTTAGAAACAGTAAACATATACAGATGCAAGAAAAATGCGTATACAATAACGGGTGAAAAGGTGGGGACAACATATAAGGAAATTAAAACTTTACAGTAGCCAGAATTAGACAGAAGACATGCCTACTACTGCTCTGGGTCTTCAGCACCAATAAACATCACCATAACCAAATGATTGGTGTCTCCAGAGGAAACACCAACCAATGACACTCAGATATACCTCATCTAGAACTGACTCATTTGGTAAATCAAGTCTTCCCAGATCCTAGAAAGAATGGCACACAGTTTGATTTTGCTATTGTTTGTATTTGTTCCTTTGGTTTCTTTTTGAGACAGGGTCTCATACAACCCTGGATGGCCTTGAGTTGGGTGTATAATAACTGCTTTAGTTAATTTTCCTGTTTTAAAATTCCCCAACAAAAGCAGCTTAGAAGGAAAGTCTATAGGCTCATAGATTGAGGAAACAGTCCCTCATGATAAGGAAGTCAAGGCAGCAACAACTTGAAGCAGTGGGTCACGTTGTGTCTACAGCCATGAAGCAGAGAACATCAAATACTTGGTTCTGCTAACTGCCTTCTTTTTATACAGTCTAGGGCCAAACTCCATTTTTAGTGTGGGTCTGTCCTAATTGATTTTCTAATGCGATATCAACTTTCCATTGATATATCTATGTCAATTTCTAAGTCGGAGCTTACAGTTTCAGACTGTTTGAGTCCACAACCATCACGGCGGGGAGTGCGTCGGCAGTTAGGCAGGTCTGGTGCTGGAGCAGTAGCTGAGAGCTCACATCTTGAGACAGAGGGAGGTAACTGGGAATGGCATGAGCTTCTGAAATTTCAAAGCCTGCCCCCTTCCCCAGTGACAGGAAATGTTTCATCTAAACTGTTCTATTATCAACAAAACCTGGGAGTCAGATATTGGGGTGAAACCCTGATAGACCAGGACAGTAGGGGAAGCCTGGTGGTGGTGACACACACCTTTGATCCCAGCACTCGGGAGGCAGAGGCAAACAGATCTCTGTGAGTTTGAGGTTAGCCTGGTCTACAGTGCTACACAGAGAAACCCTGCCTTAAAAAAAGGCGAGCAAATGAACCAGTTGACCCTCTCTCCACACTTCCCAGATTGAAAGAGCCTGTGAATCTTTTTTTTGGGGGGGGGGTTTCGAGACGGGGTTTCTCTGTGGCTTTGGAGGCTGTCCTGTCCTGGAACTCACTTAGTAGTCCAGGCTGGTCTCGAACTCACAGAGATCCGCCTGCCTCTGCCTCCCGAGTGCTGGGATTAAAGGCGTGTGCCACCAACACCCGGCTGAGCCTGTGAATCTTTTTAAGCCCTTCCCTACTCCTTCCTCTCTATCATAACTTGGGTCTTCCAAAACCTCTATGGCTAATTATGGTCAGGTAGTCGTTGACTTGCTCCCTGATTCAAGGTTAATTTTATTAACAGTCTTGTAGTGTCACAGTGTGATAAAATATCCCACAACAATGACATATCTTCAACAAGACCACACCTCCTAGTCCTTCCCCAACAGTTCCACCAAGTGGGAACTGTTTTAGTTAGGGTTTCAGTTGCTGTGAAGAGACACCATGACCTCAATAACTTTTTTAAAATGTATTTACTTATTTTATATACATTGGTGTCTTGCCTACATGTATGTTTGTGTGCGGGTGTTGGATTCTCTATAACTGGAGTTACAGACAGTTGTGAGCTGCCATGTAGGTGCTGGGAATTGAACCCAGGTCCTATGGAAGAAGCGGCCAGTGCTTTTAACTGCTGAGCCATCTCTCTGGCCACGACTATGGGAACTCTTATAAAGGAAAACAATTAATTGGGGTTGGCTTACAGTTAAGAGATTTGGTAGGTTATCATCATGGAGGGAAGCATGCAGACATCACCAAGTGACCCAGTTATGGGCGTGGACCACAATGCCGAGGCACAGTTATTTTCTACAAGACCTGCCTATCAAGATAAGGAGACTGGTAGCTCCATGTCAAGAGGGACTCTGATTCTGTGACCTGGCAGTCACAGGAGTTCCAAACAGGTGCTTATTTTGACACAGAAAATAAACCATATCCTTCAGGTCATGTGAGACCATATTAATGGTCTCTTGAATTTATTTTCCATCAATTAAGTAATGTAAACTTACTCCTTTTCCTCTAAACAAACTGCAATGTATCTATTTAGGAGTTGGCTGCAATATGGTATGAATATTAATAGAAAGCCTGTATGTTTTAAATCCTTCTGTAAAATATGAACAAACGTACCGTTAGTGTTCTGTGTAAAGCTGTGCTATGTAATGTGTGTTTACACTCCCCAAAAGAAAACCTCGTAGCCACATTTAAATGCTAGTACCGGAGAATGACATGTATGAAGTATAAGAATCGGACACAGCATTTAGGGAACTGAGGCAGGAGGATCAGGAGGTACACAGTGAGACACTGTTTCAAAAAATGAAAACAACAAAGATGGTCATGGTGGCACATAACAACAATCCCAAGACTTGTGAGGTGGAAGCAGGAAGTTCAAGAATTCAAGAGCATCCCAGTTGCACAGAGACTTAAGACCCTGTCTCAAGAATTCAAGAGCATCCCAGTTGCACAGAGACTTAAGACCCTGTCTCAAGAATTCAAGAGCATCCCAGTTGCACAGAGACTTGTGACCCTGTCTCAAGAATTCAAGAGCTTCCCAGTTACACAGAGACTTAAGACCCTGTCTCAAGAATTCAAGAGCATCCCAGTTGCACAGAGACTTAAGACCCTGTCTCAAGAATTCAAGAGCATCCCAGTTGCACAGAGACTTAAGACCCTGTCTCAAGAATTCAAGAGCATCCCAGTTACACAGAGACTTAAGACCCTGTCTCAAGAATTCAAGAGCTTCCCAGTTACACAGAGACTTAAGACCCTGTCTCAAGAAACTAAACCAAACGAAAACAACAAAAACCCACCCCCCCAAAACCCAAAACAACAACAAAAAGCAAGCAAACCGAATGACAGTGCATGCCTTTAGTCCTAAGTCTCGAGAGGCAGAAGCAGGCAGATCTCTGTGCATCTGAGGATAAACTGGGCTGCATGTGAATGAGTTCTACCAGCCAGGGCTACAGGGTGAGACCCCCATCTTAACAAAGCAAAGCAAAACAAAACAAGAAGAGAGAAAGGAAGGAAAGAATAGCTGTGAGTGCATCATAGAACAATGCAGAGGCAGAGGGAGAAGCCAGTGAACTTGAAAACAGAAATAGTAACAATCCTACCCAAAGAACTGAGGAAACTTTTTTTAAAAATGAGCAGAAAACCATTGGAAATGTAAGGCTTCTGGATGCATGTGTTCCTGTAATTTCAAACGGAGATGGAGAGAATCGTGTGGAAGAGTCATTGGAAGGAATGCTGGCATGTCCATTGACTCAGGCACAGGCGTGTTTACCGAGGCATTATACACATCAGCCAGGACATGGAATCAGGTTAGAGGCCCATCAGCAGGTCTATAAAGAAAATGTGGCATACACTCTCACACAGTGGCGTTTTACTCAGAAAAGAGGAGGAGGAGAAGGAAATGTCGTTTTTAGGAAATGAACAGAGCTGGAGATCATCCATCGTGTTAGGCAAAGTCAACCAGACCCAGGAAGGAGGAACGTAGCTTAAAGAGGTAAATGGGGGCATGGAGCAGAAGGGAGCCTGCAGAGGTGGGGGCGAGGGGAAGGGAAGATGCAGGGGTGTGGATGTGAGCGAAGTACATGATACAAATGAAATCCGGTGTTTATGTGCTAACTAGAAAGATGAAAAATAAACTGTGGTTGAACTTTTCCTAGCTCCAGTGACAGACGTGTTTTCAGATCCAAGAAGCTTGGTAAACCCAAAGCAGAATTGAAAATTAAAAAGACCAAGGAAAGATCTAGAAGGCAGCCAGGGAGGAGTAGGGAAGAGAGCTTGCCTAATATATACAAGCCCTGGGTTTTGGTCATGTCTCAAGACTAAAAATGAATGAATGAATGAAGTCCCCTGAAAGCAGCCCAAGGAAAAGGGCCCTTTGCATAGGGAGGAAACTTTTTATTATGGCAGGATTTTCTTCCCGGAAACAATACAGAGCAGAACCAACACCTTTAAGATGCCACAGAAAGAGCTAGGGGTTTAATAGATGCCTGTAAGCCACGCCCTCAGGAGGCTGAGGCAGGGGTCCATGAGTGCAAGGCCAGCCTGGGTCAATACTGAGACTCCATCTAAAAAAGGACAAACAGAATCTTCCAGGACTCAGATGAACTGAGGCAATGTCACCAGCAGACCTGCACCATGAGGGGCTGAAGGGTGTCTTCAGGGTGAAGGGCAATGAGCAGAGAGAAATGATGGATTTGTAAGTAAATGTAAAGTGCACTTTAAAAAAAGAGATAGGTGTGTGTGCATGTGTGCGTGCTTGAGTGTGTGTGTGTGTGTGCGCGCGTGTGCAGGTGCCTGTGGAGGCCAGAAGAGGGCATCAGATCCCCTGGTGCTAGAGGTTCCTGGGATATGGAGGATGCTCTGGAGGAGCTGCAAACACTCTTAACTATCTCTCCAGCCCCAAGTTTTTCTTCTTAATATCTTTAAAATGCATATAATCATTCAGGGTAAACCATGCCACTGTGTTGTGTGGTTAATGACAAATGGACGTAACCTTTGAAGACTGGGGGTTAAGGGTGTATAACGTGATCACTGTTCAGTGGTTCTCCAAAGAGCACTGTCTTTCCAAGTGTCGTCAAGGGAGCCTCAGGGGTACTTCACCTTTAGAACCTTTTCCTGGGTCAAAATAGTTTCCATAGAAACCTCGAGATGTCCTTTGCTTTCCTCTCATTTTCTCCGATAGCACATTGGAGCTGCAGAATGTGTGGTGACTCATCCTCATCCTCTGATGTCCGAGGGAATGTACGTTGCATTTTTTTTTGTATTGAGATCTTCCGCTGGAATTTCCAGCTGGACAGAACAAAAGCTCTTTGGGATTCTCACTAATTTTTGAAGTATAAAGTTTGAGACGAGCTGCCTAATGGCCGCAGGGGACAGGGTGTGTGTGTGGGGAGGACATGAAGCTAAAAGGGTAACTACGAGTTAAAGAGAACGCCTGAGCCCCGACCTTGTTAGTCTAAGGAACTTGTTTCTGGCCGAGGGAACATTTTAGTTACTTCCTGCACTGCCACTAACGACTGACACAAATTAGCTTGTGGTAGGAAGGGTTCAGTTTATAGGAAGAGCCGGGCAGGGCGAGTGGCAGGTCTGTAGCACCAACCAGAAAGACCACAGGGAAATGCAAGGACTCAATGGTTTTCACCTTTACCCGTCGGCCCAGGTCCACATCCAGGGCTGGGTGTCCCTCTTCATGACTCCCAGAGGAACATCTCTGTGAGCGCCACCAGACAAGGCCCTGGGCACACCTGCAAGGGATTATGTAGGTCCAGGCTGTTGTCCAATAACGCCTGTGAGGGCCAGAATAAATTCCCTTTCAATTGCTTTTGTTCAGAAATTTGTCACAGGAAAACAAATGGAGACAGCCTTCCACAATCTTAAATCCAGTCTAGTTCACAGGGAAGATGAATTGTCACAATGACCCACTGAGCCACCAGGATTTGCTGGGGACCGACAGGTCTCCCAGGACTCAAGCCTTCAGGAAAACTGGGAGGGAGAGTTGATCATCTCATCCTAACTCATCACTCTGCTGCCCTTTCCCTTATCTGAAAGTCAGCCATGAAGGAGCACAAGACACACGTGACCTGTGTACAAATGAGGTCTGAGATCCTTGACATAGAGGAAGCTAGGCAGGCAGGGGCTCATGCCTGTGCTGTATAAGATGGTGAATGTTCCCAACTGCAGTAAACGCTCCGGAGACAAACTGCACCATGGTGGGAGCTTATGCACAAAGGGAACTTATTAAGTGAAATTTCTGTAATGTTGACTCACTTCAGTAAAGTCAGTGTATTTAAAATTACAATTGTGAGCAAGGTGTAGAGACGAACATCTATAACCCTGGTACACGGGAGGCCATGGCAGGAGGCTTGTGAGTTTGAGGCCAGCCTGGGCTACACAGGGAGACTCTATAACCCTGGTACACGGGAGGCCATGGCAGGAGGCTTGTGAGTTTGAGGCCAGCCTGGGCTACACAAGGAGACTCTATAACCCTGGTACACGGGAGGCCATGGCAGGAGGCTTGTGAGTTTGAGGCCAGCCTGGGCTACACAGGGAGACTCTATAACCCTGGTACACGGGAGGCCATGGCAGGAGGCTTGTGAGTTTGAGGCCAGCCTGGGCTACACAGGGAGACTCTATAACCCTGGTACACGGGAGGCCATGGCAGGAGGCTTGTGAGTTTGAGGCCAGCCTGGGCTACACAGGGAGACTCTATAACCCTGGTACACGGGAGGCCATGGCAGGAGGCTTGTGAGTTTGAGGCCAGCCTGGGCTACACAGGGAGACTCTATAACTCTGGTACACGGGAGGCCATGGCAGGAGGCTTGTGAGTTTGAGGCCAGCCTGGGCTACACAAGGAGACTCTATAACCCTGGTACACGGGAGGCCATGGCAGGAGGCTTGTGAGTTTGAGGCCAGCCTGGGCTACACAGGGAGACTCTAGCTCAAAAAGCTGAGGGAGGGTGGGGAGATGGTTACGCACTATCCACACAAGCCTGCTGACCCAAGTTCAATCCAGAGTGCACAGGGCAGATCTCTGTACTCCAGCATCTTTAGAGTGAGGTAAGAGGCGGGCCAGCCAGCCTGGAGCCAAAGCAGCAACGGAGACCCCGCTTCAACATGGTGGGAGGTAGGACTGACTGTGGAGAGTTACCCGTGACCCCCACACTCTATTCATGCTGCGGCACAGGTGACCCCACCCCCAAACGTATGAATACATTCTACCTCCAACAGAAAAATACATGTTTATTGTGATTTTGAGTAATGGTCCTGTCTAAACTAGATCAGGAGGAATATAATCCAGAAATTTCTTTTCCCTCAGTTAATAGTCCGGGCTAGCTTGAAACTCATGGTAATCCTCCTGCCTCGGCACTCAGGTGCTGCGGTCACGGGTGGGAGGCATCACAATGGTCCCCCCAGTAAGGAATCTTGAAGATAACGTTCCACACTGACTGGCTCTTGGGCATCTTCAATACTTATCACTAATGAGGGACTTTTAAGAAGAATTTGAAATAAGAAAATTTTACTTTATATTCATGAGTGTTTTGCCTATATGTGTGTGTGTGTGCACTGTGTGTGTGCCTGATCCCTAGAGAGGTCAGAAGGGGGTGTCAGACACGATGGAACTGGAGGTATGGACCACCATGGAGGTGCTGGGAATCAAACCCTGTCCTCTGCAAAAGCAGCCAGTGCTCTTGACAAAGCCTAAGCCATCGTTCTGGCGGTGAGGAACTTTTCAACCTTAGGTGTAACCTTGGAGAGCTGGGTGAGTCAAGACAGTGAGCTCCAGAGACCACAGGGATGTCTAACAACAAATTGATGTCCCAGCCCCAATGTCCCTCCCACCTTCTAAGTTTGTTCCCAAGTCCATTGGCTTCTGTTTCTCATTAACCGAGGAGGGCAAAGGGCATGCGCATGGAGGGGGGACGGAGGGAAAGCGAGAGGACACGTGGGTGCAAATCCAGAAAGGGCATCGACACTTGTTAGTTTTGGCTTTTATCGTTGGTTTTAGTCTGAAAATCACTGCCACCTGCTGTTCTGGGAGAGGTTGGGCTTGGAGAAAGGGCCGGATTTCCGGGTCGGGGTTTTCTGTAGCTTTCCTTGGGAAAGGAGTTACTAGCTCTGCCCTGCACAAGGGCCACAGAACATTCTAGGCAGAGGGGCCTGGGAGAGTATTGGCTGCTCGCCCTTCCCCAAACCCTGCTTTTGGGAAACATTTGGTGCGTGCGTGCGTGCGTGCGTGCGTGTGTGTGTGTGTGTGTGTGTGTGTGTGTGAGTCAGAAGGCAACATGAGAGAGTTGCTTCTCTCCTCCAGCCCTGTGGACCCTGACTTCAAGCCCAAGTCGTCAGGTTTGGCGGCAAGCGCCCTTCTCGACTGAGCCAGCTCACCAGCTCAGCTCGGCTTTTCCGTTCCCAGCCTTGCCCTGGGCCAGGGCACTCTGGGCCTTCTGGGTCCAGTACCCGGGTTGAAGGAGGATCCAGTGCAGCATCGGGGCTGAGGTGGCCTGAGTCAGTCGGCCGGGCTGTGATCCTGGGCTTCTGTTCTGAACGGACGTTAGAGGTGTGGGAATCAGAGCCGGGGTGGGGCTCGGACGACTTGTTTGTTCTGTATGCTGTCCCACCCTCCAGTCATTGACTTAAGTCATGGATGCTCACAGCAGAGTCCAAATAACCCCCTGATCCAGTCACAGTCTTAGTTCTCAAGCCCACCCTCCCTACCGCCATCGTCTGTCTAGCTAAGTCACACCCTCCCATCTGAAACCGTTCCCAGGACTGAGCCCTGAGCTATCTGTCTGCCCTATCAGTAACTGCGGTCTTCTCTTCTTTTCCCAGGCCTCGTTCTGCTCTGTTTGGCTGTGCTCGTGTGTTAACAGTCGCACTATCAATCTCATGGATCCTCTGTTTCTCACATTTGCCCGACAACCCCCACTGGACCATTGCGTGTAACAGGAGACCAGAAACAGCACAGCGCTGCCGTAAAACGGTGGCTCCAAGCCACATTCAACAGGTTCAAACCAAGGCATCACTACCTAGAAGTTCTGTGACTGTCCCCAATGTGTTCAGTTTCTCCGTACCACTGGTGCCCTTCTCTGTAGAATACAGAGCAGTGAAGCTCGCGCTAGAGAGCTGTTGTGAAGATTAAATGAGTTAATAACTTTAATTGTTTAGGAGGATGCCTGGTCCTTGGTGAGCAATAAGCTTCATTATGAGTTTGTGGAGGTAAGAGAGAAAAATGGCTACCTCAGTGGTTCCCAGCCGGGAACAGTATTGCTCCCTAGGGAATATTTGACAATTTCTAGAGAATAAATAAACAAACAAATAAATAAAGTGGGGGCATACTACTGCCACCTAGTGGGTAGAGATCAGTAATGCGCCCCACACTTATGCCTCTAGTAACACGGTAACACAGAAACCCAGGCTTAGGTGGTTAATTCCAACCTACCTAGGTTCAAACTCCAAATTTCCTTTTTATTTTACACATAGCCTTAGTAAATGATTGAAACTTGCCCTTTAGTTTCCTTAACTGTAAAATGGAGACAAAGAAAGGCAATTCATATCCCTGCCCCCTCGTCTTCCCCCACCCAGAATCTCACCCTCGGATCTCCACCTGACGTAGCCAGAAAGGTCCACACTCATTATGCAGCAGAGAATGATCTTGAACTCCTGCCTCTACCTCTCAGGTGTGCACCACTGGGCTGAGCTATGCTGGGGCTCTTTTACATATATTTATTTTATTTTATTTTATTTTTATTTATGTGTTTGTGGGTGACAACCCAGGGTCTCCTGGAGCTGCAGTTACAGACACTTGAAATGATCTGATGTGGGCACTGGGAATTGAACCCAGGTCCTCTGAGAGCAGCAGGAACAGCAAGAGCTCCTAACCACGGAGCCAACTCTCTAACCCCTGTGACCTGGCCCTTTTGTTTTGTTTTGGTTTGGTTTGGTTTTCGAGGCAGGGTTTCTCTGTATTGCTTTGGAACCTATCCTGGTACTGGCTCTGTAGACCAGGCTGGCCTGGAACTCACAGAGATCTGCCTGCCTCTTAAGGAGAAAATGCTTGACAAGCAGCACTCAGCCACCATTATTATTACTTCTCTCCTCGTGTCTCCCCCTTCCTGACTCTGGGTGGCATTACTTGCTCTGCATTTATTGGGTACTGAGTATGTCTTGCGTATGACACCCACCTGTTCACTCGTCTGCCCTTCCCAGTGAGGGGCTCCTAGAGGGAAGGGCTTTGTGATGTAGGTGCCAGCATCCCCAGGACCCAGTTCAGGGCCTGGAATGAGAGGTAGCACCTGTGTCTTTGGTGGGTGTGAGCCAGAGCAGGGACGGAGGTACCAAGCATTGGCCTCGATGTCAAGGGAGGTAGAGCATCTGTAGGTGGGTGGGTCCAGGGTCCCAGGGTGTAGTGGAGGCCAATGATGTGGGCATAGCCATGCTCCATACGTGAGTTCTGGCTACCGTATGTGCCTTCCCTCTCCTTTGCTGGGTACCTTTATAGCTTGAATGTAAATCTTCCCCCATAGGTTCGTGTATTTAAAAATGTGGTCCCCGGCAATGGTACGGTTTGTGGAGGCCAGGAAACCTTTGGGATGTGTGGATTTGCTAGCAGAAGTGGGGTGGGAGGGGGTGGAGGTCTGAAGAGCCTATTGCTTCTGTTCCTTACCTCAGTGCTCTGCTCTCTGACCCACCAAGATGTGAACAAGTCACGCCACAGGCTCCCACTGCCTCAGACTAAGCTGCTCCAGTTTCCACGCCTCCCTCACCATAATGGGCCCATATCCCCTGAACCACAAGCCATAACGATTTCTCCCTGAATTGTAAGGTATTTTGTCCTAGTGACCGGAGATCGCCAAGCACTTATCTTCTGTTGGAGGGAGTGACCCCCTGAGTGGATGAGGATGTGAGCCTGAGCTGGCCCAGCTGCTCCTCACTGGGGGTCTATCCTTTGGTAACAGGTTTCGTAGATGGCAGATATGGACCTGGTGGGTGCTATGCACCTGTTGGTTGACAGCAAAAGGTTCCTGTTGTCAGTCTCCAGGCTGGGACACTGCTTTGGTGCTGGGGCAAGTCCTGTGATACCAAGTGCCATAACAATACCTCCAGGTACTGAGTCTGTGATACCAAGTGCCGTAACAACACCTCCAGGTACTGAGTCTGGCTTCACAAGCCTTTGTGGGATTTGTCACCAGTTCCAGACCTGGTGCTGTCTGAGGCGGTCTCCCTGTCTCTGGACCAGCCTTTCTCTAACGACGCCGATGCTCACAGAGTCCTGTTGATGCCACAGAGCGAGGACACACATGCTCGAGAGGGATGGGGATGCACCTGAAATGCTGGACACTCCTTTTACCCGTTACCCGGTGGTGGGAGAGGGATATGGGGCGGGGGTCCTCTGACATCACCCTGGCAGGAGGAGCTTGCAGCAGGAGGAAAGGGAAAAACTAGCTTTCTCAAAAGCCTAGAGAGGGTGAAGTCTCCTTAGACTCGTAAAGAAGCTGGCGTCTGGGTTTCTACCGGGGAAGAGGGGACTGCGGAGAGAGAGGGCTGTAGCCTTTGTGTTTGGACATGTTTTTACTGTCCCAAGTCATCCCCACCCCATCCTTTTGCCGACTTGGTAAATATTGAGGCTAGGAATGAGTCACTTGTGATGGAATTCAAGTTATCTGTTGTGTAACAAACTGTCCCTTCCCTTAGTTTAGAACAAACAACGTGCATCATTTTGTACAGTTGCTGGAGTCTAGAATCAGGAGCAGTTAGGGGGTGGTCTAGCCTCAGGGTCTCTCTCCAGGCTTCAGCTGTGGTCAGGGCACTGGGTACTTGAAAGCTTTATTGGGCAGGAGGTCTGCTGCCAGGAGGGGCTGAGGCCTCTGCCCCTTGCCACACAGCCCTCTTCATAGACACTTGAGAGTCATTATTAATGACTGAAGATAGAAAAAAAAAAAGGTTTGAGGCCAGAATTCTTTTTACTTGTATCACCATGGTGATAAAATGCTTGACCAAAACAACTTAGCAGAGAAAGCTTGACTCTGACTCTTAGGTTCAGAGGGATTTAGTCCATTATGGTAGGGAAAGTGTAGAGGTGTGGTTTAGCCTGTGGTGGTAGGAGCATGGGGCAGTGTCTGTTCACACGGCAGCTGACCAAGGGTCAGAGAAAGCAGGCCTTAGGACAGCAGGGGGCATAACCTTCAATGCTCCCACCAGCCACACACCACCTCCCAAAGGTTCTACAGCCTTCAAAACATGCCACAACCAGGGGAGCAAGCCTTAAAACAGGAACTGGGGGGGGCTTCCGGAGTGACCTAGGCTTGGAAGTGACACAGCTTCACCTCTTTTATGTTTGAGTTCTCATTCAGGCCACACCCGATGCATTGTGGGAAGAGATGGAGTGTGAAGGGTCCTTCAAAGAGAATACCTCAGGAATCATTTCTAGCATTTGAAGCGGCTCGACATCTCTCCCTCCATGGTAGTAGGATTAGGCAGATCAAAACAACCCAGGGAGATCAAACATAAGAGGAGGTGGGTTTAGAGAGGACAGCGAGAGTTTACAAAGACTCAAGGAGCTGTTGAGGAGGCATGAAGCAGGGCAGGCTAGAGGAGCCTTGGGCAGAATGCCCTTCTAGCCTAGTGGAGGCTAACCACAGTGTGTCCGAAGCTTTGTGAAAAGACTGTTTGAAGGAGCATGTTTCCTTGCTGAAGAGTCTAGACTCAAGCCTCCCACATCCGACTTGGTGTGGACTTTCATCTTGAAGCAGTGACCCTCAGTAAAGGCTCTGCAACACGTTGCCTGTGTGGGTAGCTTGTCACCCGAAGGGGCTTATGTTATACCCTGCACCCTCCCTTCCTCACAAATACCAGCTCACAGTGAAGCTGTGTTTGTGCCTCAGCCATTGAGCTGTGGAGTTCTCTGTTCCACCCCTCACCACTTCATGGCTTTGGCAAACCCTTCAGACAGTCCACGCTCCCATCTGAGCTGCTCAGAAGTGCAGTGGCTCCCGCGGAATGAGTGGGGTGTAGCGGTGGTGGGGCGCAACTTCACGGAGAGCAGGCTTTGCCGTCTAGCTGTCCCCGCCCGTGAGCGTTCTCTCTGCACTGGAGACCCACGGGATACGTTTGTTGCATTAAAGATGATGATGGTTTCCTTGCAGCTGTGTCAAGGGGATGGAGCAAGCATTTTCCTAAAATAGCTGGGAAGAGAGAGAGAGGAGCCCAAGGGGAGGGCCTGGAACAGAAGGCAAGGAGTCACGGACAGCGGAACGGAGGAGGGCAAAATGGGCAAGTGGCATGATTTGCCTAGGATCATCCGGGGGGCGGGGTCTCGGCAGCGGCTTGTCCGAGGATGTCTTTAGCTCTGCCTGGACCACTTGAAGAAGTCATAGTTACTGTTTTCAACACAAAGCAAAGAGAAAAGAGGCTGGCTGGCAGCAAGCCTTTGGAACACTACGACACAGACATATCCACACGTGCCACAAACAGAAGTGCCACATCCTAGCACAGCTCCAGCGACTTGACTGTGTGGTGCAGTGGGGGAATGGACAGACACAGAGACAAAACTGGGACTGCGTGAACTGGGCTATCTGATGGGGAAGCCTCAACATCAGGGAAGGTCAGTGTGTTTACTTCACACAGCTGAACAGGAGGCGAGGCCATTGCACACAGGGCATGGGGTGTCTTAGTTAGGTTTTTTTTTTTAAGTCACTATTTATTTATTATGTGTACAGTGTTCTGCCTGCATGTCAGAAGAGGACACCAGAACTCATTGCAGATGTGAGCCACCATATGGTTGCTGGGAATTGAACTCAGGACCTCTGGAAGAACAGTCAGTACTCTTAACCTCTGAACCATCTCTCCAGCCCTAGTTAGGGTTTTTTATTGCCGTAAAGAGACACCCTGACCATGGCAATTTTTACAAAGAAAACATTTAATTGAGGTGGTAGCTTACAGTTTAGAGGTTCAGTCCATTACCATCATGATGGGGAGCATGGCGGCATGCAGGCAGACTACATCTTGATCAGAAGGCTGCGGGAAGTCTACTGATTGTCACTCCTAGTGAAGCTTGAGGAAAAGACCCCAAAGTCCGCCACCACAGTGACACACTTCCTCCAACAAGACCACACCTCCTAATAGTGTCACTCCATTTTGGGGGCATTTTCTTTCAAACTA